GACGGGTTCTGCCCCCCACCGCTCCCTGCCCCCCCCCCCCCAGCCTGCTGGCCCCCCCAGCCCCCGGGTCACCTGCGATGGCGGGGTAGAAGTCCTTGAACTCCTGCAGCTCGTAGGCACCCTCGCAGCCAGCCAGGCAGTCATCGTACGCCTTGTAGTACTCGGCCAGCGCCCGCTCCATGTTGGCCGCGCTGCTCCGGAAATCCCCGCTGTTGTACAGCTTCACCGACCGCACGAATATCGGCTACAGGGACCACGCAGGCTCCACTCAGCTCCTCCCCACAGCTCAGCTCTGCCCAGCAGCACCAACCTGCCCCATCGCCTCTGAAGCAGCTCCGTCCCCAGTATGAGCACCACTGAGGTGCTCTTTGGAGGAGGCAGAAGGTGGGCAACCAGAGCAATGGAGCCACTTCCCTCAGGGTTTGACAGGGCCAGGTGCACACTGAGCCTTGGGGAGCTCCTCTCCCACCCCAGTCCTGTCCCCTCCTCACCTCGTAGGGCTGAGCCTCCAGGTCAACCAGGTATTCATCCACATCCAGCATCGTCCTGTAGTAGTTCAGGTACTTCAAGGTCATCTCATGTTTGGGGTTCTTCTGCAGGAAGGTGTGAGCAGCAGACACCGCTTTCTCGATCTTATTTGACTGGGGAAGGAGGAAGAGCCAGTGCAGCAGCTGCTGCGGGGGGCAGCAGCTGCTGCTGGGGTGTCAGTGCCAGCCAGACCCCAGGGCTCATCCCTGGCGGGGGGAGAGTCTCGCACCCCCAGTGCCAACCCAGAGCCCAGTCACCAAGTGACACTGATAGATGGACAGGATCTGGGATCATGGACAAGGCAGATCAATTCAGCTTCACTGACCACCCCCTCCGTGCCCACAGTGGGCATGGGGACAGCTCAACCCTCATGGACCCCATGTCCAGCCAGGAGTGATCCACGTGGTGCGGGCACGATCCACATGGTGTGGGTTTGATTCACACATCACTCCTCTGAGGTGCTGCCACCAGCAAGCCCTGCTTCCCAGCTATTTTATGAGCTCCTGGGTTGCAACTTCAGGGGAGTAAAATTGGGAGTTGAACAAACCCTCCACGAGATGGGTTTTGTCCAGAGCAAGGAGAGGAAAAGTTATTAAGGACCCTCACTGCTGCCGAGCACAGAAGCAGCACTGGCTGCTGGCCAGCAGGGCAGCTCGGGAACCTGACCAGCACCAGTGCCTGGGGAGGGCACTGTCCCCTGCCAGCACCACTCTGGCCAAAGCAGGGTCACCCCAGGGCAACACCTTACAAAACCTCCCTCCATGTCTGCACCGTGAGCCCGAGCAGACGCTTCTCCATGACAGGACACCCAGACACGTGTCCTGCAGCAATCACAGTGACATTGGACCCTCCACCTTGGGCCCCTCGGCAGGGGCAGCCCCCCCACCCCCCCCCCCCCG